GGCATTCTATAGCAGATCTTGTACCATCTTTGTTTTTCTTATTTAGCGATACAATTTTATTCTTATGGCAATTGCTAAGAACCAGAACCTCTTTAGTGTCCTGTCATTTTGCAAAAATTACACCCTCGTTGGTGCATTTGAAAACTGATTCACCTTTTTTCAGTTTTACAGGTAGTTTCGGAATATTTTTTCTAGTAGCTATACAGGTATCTACTGCTGTATAGTTTGTTAAATGAAGTAAGTCAACAGAGGTAAAGAAACGGTCAAAGCAAAGTGTAACATCGGTCTATTGGATAGTATTTGCAAGCGTATTGACTACCCTTTCTCCTAAAGTAGCATCTTGGTTGCCCTCTTCTTTCTCCGCATAAATGTTGAAATCGTAAGTATATCCCGTTTTTATTCCTCGCTTTGTTGGTTTGAGGGACATGTATTGTTTGAGGGTTGACCGCCCCTTGAATTTAGTCATCGATTCATCAATGCTTTGGAAATTGCTGTCGTGTCGTGATTTTTGAAACGAGTTTTTCAAGCATTGAACGATGTCATCAATATAATAAGTTTTAGAGCAGTCGGTCGGCTTTTCTGGAGGGGCAAAATATATATTTGGTGAAATAAGTTTGACCTTGTCCCTTGAAATAGCGTTTTTTATAGTTATATTTCACATTGATGGATATCTGGACCAATAATGTGTAAGTGAAGGTAATTGATTATAGGACAGTATGAAAACTGAGCCAAACACAATTTGTATTTCACCTATATCAGTATCTAAAATCCGTTTTTTCTTCTTTCCTTTTGCATTTTTGAGGATATTCAGTCGGGCATTGGTGCATTGTGCAATGTACATGAAATACATCAATGAAACTCATGTCTTTGTGAAATTTTGAAGATAAAGAACACTCACGTGAAAGTGGAACACTGGTGTTACATCTGGTGTTACATCTGACCATATAATTCTACGATTTTTGGAATCGCCAGTCTTCTCCATGAGCAGTTTGTCCATCCATTGATTCACTTTTAATTATTTTCTCCAAGCTTTCGACCTGCTGGGAATCCACATCATTATTGCTGCACAATGATTCATTATCTTCGCCCAAATTTTCTGCAGATGATGTCCCCCATAAATTACTACTGCCTGACGAAAAGTCGAATAAACTTAAAACTTCAGACAAATGGCCAGCGATGTGGTCCAACTCATCCATACTTAATTTATTTTTTCTGGACATCGTCTGAACAAAAAAAAAAATAAAATCAATACAGAAGACTATCGGTACATACATGTACCAACATCTAGTGCAGTTACGGACTGCTGGTACAAATGTGTACCGCTGTAGAAAACAGCTGTTTTTTGTTGTTTCCAGCAGTGTTTCGCAACATATTTTGTCGTAATATTTTAAAACTTACCTTCAACTAAATCCACACACAGAATTTGCGCAATTTGTCACTTTTTTTGGTGAAAATTAACTAAAAACGGAGCGTAGAACGTGGCCCGGCAGAAATAAACAAATACCACATAATATCAAATAAAATTCCGCGCATCACAGTTATATAGGGAGATAGAAGACGCATCGGTACGTAGAGGAACCATATAAAATATGATTCATGCTGGTATATATGTATACCAACAAGCTCGAAAGGGTTAAGGCTGATGCCCCCCCCCCCCCCCCGGGCCCCTGGTATTTCCCCCCTGCCCCTCCCTTTCCCACTTGTCGGACCTAGTTGTATATGTGTATTAATATACTGCGATCTAAAAGATCTATTGTCTGCCCTTTCTGTTGCTAAGGCAGCAAGGGAATAGTCTCGATGTCTAGCGACCCTTCCAATCCTATCTTCTCAAGGCAGTGTAGCATTTGGAGTGGCTTCAAGTTGGACAGATCTCCCTTTTTTGTTTTGTATGCCCTTCGATTCTAGAATGCCACACATTTAGTCAAAATATGAATGGAAGTTTCGTTCTCCGCAGTGAATCTAAAATCACTATCTGCTACTAGTTTCACCTTACTAAAAGGTGTGTTTTGAATCGGTAATGCCCGATAACTATCTCTGTTATAATGTGTAGTTTGTTCTTGCACAGACAGACTCAGGCTTTTTTTTATGACTATGGTCACCCAAAAGTATCTTCCAATTATCAAGTTTGCGAAATTCTCTTTTAATTTCTCCTGTATAGATTGGGTTTCTGCTGATAGCGTAAAACGGCGTGAGAATAACTGGGTTTTCTTCTTCTGGCTCATTCAGTTTTTCTATGCATTTCTAATTTATTTTTGAGCTGATTACATAATAGCTCAGCGTTTGTTGATGCCTGCTTGACTATCGGATTTTTATTTATCTAGTTTTTTTGTGGTTTTGGAATTATTGTTATACCACTGAATCGCATGTAATTCGGGTACCAACACGATTGATTCTATCCTACAGTTCATCTTGGAAGTTTTGAAGTTTTTTATAAAATTGTGCTTCCTTCTCCTTTCATCCTGGGGCATATCTGAAGTATCTTTAGTCCTGTGGCTAATAGACTTCCGACTGATTACTTCGTTTTTGATCATTCTATGTCGCTTTTTTTTTTCTTCAGCATTAAATGTAGAGGATGAGGCTTAAGATCATCTTCATTGCGCTTGTAGAACAGGTTTTTCAGGTAAAAATATATTTGACAAATTATCAAAACACTATGAAAATGACTATACAATGTGAACTAAAAAAATATAATAATTTACCGTCATAAAAATAAAGCTTAAGTTTCTCCAACACTATAATAATTTTAAGATTGAGTTCTCTTTTCTTTGAAAATGCTGCTAGTGTTGTTTTGGTCGGGTTCATAGTAAGTCCCACCTCTTTACACCATCTTCTGGACTGTTCCAATCCTCTTTGGACTATATTGCACTGAATACTTTTAAAATTAATTCTAACACTATGAACTACACAGTAACTGCTCAATTTTAATTGTACAATATTTTTCGAGTCTTCCTTTCAAGCCTGTATTATCTAGAATGGAATAGGCTGGTATTGTCTGGGTTTATTGTCTTCTTTTGTGTTTTCTTCATCTCTTCCTTTGTGTTTCCTAGATACAAATTTCTTGATTACTTCTTTGATGGTCGGTACAATCAAATGTTTGTGAAGGTCATTATTTCTATAATACCATAGTGCGTATACAATACCGCGAAGTACTTTGTTCCTAAATATTTAAATTTTGTCTATATTGATTTTTGCTGCACATGTCCATAGAGCTAGACTGATTTTAAAATCTGTTTATACAACAATAACTTGTCATACATACAAAGTTTTGATTTTCGACCCAATAGTCAATGCATTTTTTATATTTATCCTCTCCATATAAATTAAACATCCAGGTTCATTTCCTGACATTTTAGTGTAGCTATCATTGTATGCTATCTCATTATGAGAATTTGTGAATATTGTTCCTCATTTTTATAGGTATTTAAAGCTAATGAATTATAATTTACTCTCATTTATTCTTTTTGCAACATGCCTGTTGGAATTCAGCTATAGTTTCTTCATTGTCATGGCCCACTTTAAATAGCAGTCGTTACATATTCGGTTAGTGGTATATCACAAGTGTGCCTACAACAGGTCCTAACACGCTACCTTGCAGTACACCTGCGTTAATGTCTATTTGATTTTAAACGTCCATAAAGTAACGCACAAATTTAAATTTGGCAAATCGAATTTTAACAATTTTATACCCGCATTTTTTAGTAAAAAAATTAAAATGAAATACGATTGATCATAAAATAATCAGGTCATCCACATTTTTTTTTTTTAATACTACTTACAATATAATTTTTAAGTCTTGTATCCAAGTACTCTCTGATTTTAGAGAAACACGACGTTTACTACCTTGGGATTAAAATTTTTGCAATATATAAGGAGTAAAAGTAAAAATAGAAACCAATAAATAATTTAATATTTAATTTGACAACTTTCTTATATCTCCTATCCGCGAAATACTTCGAGTTTAGAGATAAAATTGCCACTTTTACTGCCTCCTTGGGACTAGAATTTTTTTAATCCCTGAAGAGTAAAAGTAAAAACTAGAGCTTTTTAATACCTTGGTAGGATGCGCTCCATACAGTTCATGGAAATATTTCTTAAAGCAATAATATAACAGGGTGTTTTAAAAGTTGAGTCTTCATTTTTATAATTTATTAAATTGGATGTGGGTCGAGGTATATCAGATTTGATGATCCAATATATCATTGTTTTGTCTTTTAGAATGAAGATGAAGTAGCCACATATCCACACTAATAATATAAATATCCATTAATTCGTTATTGGGTAGTGTAAATAAAAATTAAGTTGTTTGAAATTGATAAGAAATATTGCTTATTTTTCATTGAATAAAATTTATTACTCCGAGCTGAGTGTAAAAATTCATCTTTAAATATTAAAAGAAAAACATAATTAATTAGTAATCTTAAGAACAACCTAATATTTAAATATTTAGCAGTTACTTATTTCAGAGAATTCAAAAAGGATATAGATGTTTTAACTTTTATTAATTTAAGCTAACCTAGTTCATTTGTTTACAATATAACGTGGGAAAGCTTCTGGTACTAGTATGACGGCATCAAGACGACGAAATTAAAATAAGAAAATGGCTTTAACGTTAGTTATAAGCGGTAGATTTATACCTTATATTATATTCTAATATCAAAAAAACTGCTTAAATTGTCTATTGGAATCGTACTGTACGATGTCTAATAAAATATTTATGTGCCAAAAGGGACCAAACATGAAGATAGGGTGCGATTAAGATGAACACCGCTACGTCATCAATTGACGGAGGAATTCGTTGGCTATCGCCGCCTACTGGTGGTTTAGTGGCGGGTTATTATTATAAAAACTCTCCTTTTCTTTATTTATTGATAGTTATAAACGATATAATATTGGAAATTCGAAATAATAATTATGACATAGCGGTGTTCTTCTTATTGTAATCGAACATATAACAACTGATAGAAATACAAATTTCTCTATTAAAAATATTTTTATTGCAGGTACGCCGGAGTGTGTTGTCCACAAGTCGTGACTCGTCCACACGTGCCAGTGCCAGCTGGGCCAATTCCTTAATTTAAAAATATTTTGTAAATATATTTGTTAATGTATATTATATTAATTACATAATAAAATATTTAATTATTTAATTTAGCTGTTATTTAATTTTATTGTTTAATGATTAAAGTATAATACCCTGGTCAAATACTCTAAACGGTGAAGACCAATAATAAAAAAAAAAAAAAAAGAAGAATATGACACATAACCATACATTGTTAGATTTACGAGAAACGTAATTTCTGCTTAAGCTATATGGTGGGCAAAAATGACGGGTACACAGAAAAAAGTTACAAAAATTAAAAGAAGACTGGTGGAAACCGCATTTCGTTATTTAAACTAGTTCAAAAGTAACATGGTTTTAGAAAGGTTCAAAATATAATAAAACACCTGGTATAAAAACAATGAAATCCGGAGAGTTTAAAGCGTATTTATAATGGTAAATTTGATAGAAGTTTAAATTTAACAGTGTAAGTGAAGTGTGATTTTGAAAATTTTCAGATAATTCGTTAATAAAAGTTCTTAGATGATATTTAAATTGAAACCTGAAATAGGTTTTTAATTGTATGTCAACAATTTCGTTTTCTTAAAGTAGGGTATATTAAGTTTAATTTTCAAGTTTAGAGTGAGGCAGATTCAAACTTGCCGAACGCTATCAATAAATATTTAACAAACTTTCATTAATATTTCTAAGTTTGCAATATATTTGCAGCCAATGTATTTTGCTTAGTAGGTAAGATTTTCGTATCTCTTCCTAACATTTTAGAGATATGTAGTTTTTGGTCCCTAACTTAATTTTAGCTAATACACTTATTTAAATTTTTTAAAGTTTGTAGATTACAACACTTGGCAGAAACTTCTCTAATTTTTCTCCTTTCAACTTCTTAAAGCTTATTTTGCCTTTTTAATATTTTTGTTATAAAATGTACTCACAGAGTTCTATTTATTTCTTTCAGCTCCTGTACCACTTCCAAATCTGTTGAAAATACAGCTCCAGTCCAATGTTATATATCTGCTATTCCAAATAACGGCCAATTTTTCTTATTTGAAAATCTATTGTCAAATTTTTGACAACCCAGGCTCGTAAATACTATACAAATTGATAATATAAATCTGCTTACTTAATTTGAACTTTTTAGATTCTTTTTAGAAGGGACATTCTTAAAATTTTAATGGCCAGAAAAAACCATCTTTTTTTAACTTTTCCTTCCCTTCTCAAATATTATATACAGGGTCATGTTTCTTATTATAACCTTCATAAGACCGAGTTAGGTAGAAGTATACCTCAGGGTGATGTTTTTCTGTGTAACTTGATGGAAAAAATTTGTATCAATTTCTCCATTATTCCATCTTCAAATCATTGTTGCAGCTGCAATTATCAAAATTGTTTATACTGAGTCTGCCTTTACTTTTCGATTTACGACATAATTTTTGACATGGGGTTTTTCTGCACCCCAGTTGGTCTTCTATGTATGCAAAAAAAAAGACCGCCAAAAGAGATCAAGTGGGGTACCTATGCGTGTAGCCCGCCTAGTAACATGCAGTTGTTATTCAGAGCCAGTAGTGCTTTTATAGTAAACGAACAGTATTCATTTTACGTGAAATATGACTGCAAAAAAAGGACTCGCTGAAGCACAACTCTTAGAAATATTAGAATCGGATGATTTTTTATAGTGTATTAAATGAGAGTGCAATAATGAAGAACATGATTTTGTGACAGAAGTGGAGGAAGTGAATGATATTGAAAGGAATCGTATTTAATTCCGTCCCCGTTGAATGGCAATATAAAGCATCCACCTATTCTATCGCTTTTAACCGCGGTAAATTCCAGGAACCAAAGTCGTTGATGCGCTGGAATAGAAGCAGGGAATCATCGCATAGGAACGGGAATTATTTATTGAATGTCAGATTTTGAACGTAGAGAGAATGGAATGTCGGTCATTGTTAAAAGGTGTAGGTTTTTGTTAGTTTTATTTGTGATAAAAATGTAAGTGCCTTTTTAAATCAATTATTATGTTTCAATTACTTTTATATTATTTAACTAGTTGATGGTTCACTGTTTAGATTTGAAAAACTGGTTTGACAGTAAGTTACTGACATTAAATGTAGATAAAACCCACTACTTACCATTCAGTAATAATATTATAACAAGACCTAAATTTTCCAAAGTAACTTTTACTGCTTCTGGGCAAACACTTACCATTCTCCCTGAAAACAAGATAAAATATCTAGGGGTTTACATGGATTCATATCTCAAATGGAAATAAAACATAACTTTTACATGCCAAAAATTAAGAATGATAATATATAAATTTAAAAATATAAGAGATTATCTACAACCACATCAACTTAAAATATTGTACCATAGCTTAGTAGAAAGTCATTTGAGATATGCCATCATTGTGTGGGGTTGTACTTTACAACCACTTGAAGTTCTGCAAAAAAGATTTTTAAAAATAATGCTCAAAAGGCCCTACAGGTATCCTTCTAACTCATTGTTTGTTGAGGCAAATGTTATGAATCTAAAACAATTTTTTTATTATAATATTAATATTAAATTTCATACAAATAAACAACTATTCAACTTACCAGATCATCCATATAGCACAAGAAAAAAACATCTCCATACTGTGCCTCGTACTCAAAAATCAGTAGGACAACGATCGTATTTGTATCTAGGTCCAAAATTATATAATACTCTTCCAGTCGACATAAAATGTAATACCTTGTCCATATTTAAAAATAATTTAAAAAAAATTATCAAAAACGAGAAAATGGAGGTAATAAATAATATTCTTTTAATTAACTGATATTTATTTGCGTTTTGTATGGTCAAAGTTTCGATATCTTTTTAATTAAGTGTAGGTATTTTGATTGTGTTTGTCTCCTATATAAAATATTATTATCTAAAATGTATATATATATATATATATATATATATTTTTTTCCTGTAATGCATTAATTTTATTTTATATGTATAAATTTGTTTATTTTTTATATTTATATTTGTTCTCAAAACAAGTGCCTTATTGGCACTTATTGAGTATCAATATTTATTTATTTGAAATTGTTGTTCTGTTACCTTGTAACTTGTGTTATTACTTGAATAAATATTATTATTATTATTTCACTGTTATAAGTAATTTCATGCTTTTTCTTGACAGCATTTTTTGTATCTGTCATAAAAAATAGCTTGCATTCCAATTAACGAGTTTATTTGATTTTATTACTTATTTTACTATCTAAATCAGTGAAAAATAGCATCCTTTTAATATTTTAATTTAAATATTTTTGAAGTTTATTGATATTTTATAGTTATGCTAAGGAAAATTTGCTATAATTATTATTTGACATTGAGATTATTTTTTTTGTCATTTTTACTTTCCTATCTGTATACAGATATAAGGAAAGTATAGGAATCATGATTTTTTTCGACCTCGAGTTTTCGACGGATTTTTACGTTTTGAGGTCCCCTGAATCCGTTTTGACTATTTTCGCGATGATGTCTGTGTGTGTGTGTGTGTGTGTGTGTGTGTGTGTGTGTGTGTGTGTGTGTGTGTGTGTGTCTGTGTGTGTGTGTGTGTGTGTGTGTGTGTGTGTGTGTGTGTGTGTGTGTGTGTGTGTCTGTATAACGCATAACTCATGAACCGATACACGGAAAAACACCAAATTTCAAACTTAAGCTTTGTTCCAGCGTCTTATGAGCTGATTAGATTTTGGGCAGAGTCGGAACATCTGGGGGGGTACTTTATAGGTGGTCATTTTTATATTTTATGGAATATATCTGTTATTTACGTTTGGAGAAGAAAATTCTTTAAATAAAAGTTACTTCTAATATAATTATCTATAATTTTTGTTATATACAAAATTTTCCTAAAATGGTCCGTATTCGCGAAATTTGACAAAATGTAAAAAAAATAATTTTTTATAAAAATTGTTCAAATAAAAGTTGTTTGTAATATAATTCTCTATAATTTTTATCCTATAGATAATTTCTCTAAAATGGACCGTATTCGAGATATTTGAGAAAATGTGTAAATTTCGAAATTTGAAGAAAACTCAAAAACGGATAAAGAAAAAACATTAAATTTTAAACTTAAGTTTTATTTCGGCCTGACGTGAAATGATTAGATTTTGGACAAAGTCGGAACATCTGGGGGGGGTACTTTATGGGAGGCCGTTTTTATATTTTAGGGAATATATCTGTTATTTATGTTTGGAGAAAAAAATTGTTCAAATAAAAGTTACTTCTAATATTATTATCTATAATTTTTGCTTTATGTAAAAATTTCCTGAAATGGTCCGTATTCGAAAAATTTGACAAAATGTGCAAAATTCTGATTTTTATGAAAATTGTTGAAATAAATAGTATATTATGCAACGATCATGTAATGATGGTTATTAATACACGAGCATTAACCGGGATACGAAACGAGCCAAAGGCGAGTTTCGTATGGTTTATGCGAGTGTTTTAATAACCATTACATGAGAGTTGCATACGCTATTTTTTCTACACCCGATAAATAATCAAGACCTATAAATATTATATTTATATTGGTATTGAACACAATAACAGTAATTACTCGTATTTCTATAAAAAATTCTACAAAATTGTAATTAATGGTATTACTTCAGGTATTGGTATTTCCCTAGATTTTTGCGGTAAAATATTTTGTACTGTATTTTCTGCTTTCTCCGATATGTGTGGAGGAGTCTTCTATATCGCTAATATCAGACATTTTAATATTATAATTATCGAAGTTTAGCTACCTACGAAAATTTAATACGTTTTGACAACTAAAATAATTACATAGGAACCTAGGACAAACGTCAAACAGCATGCTTGATTGAAAAATTGTAGGTTTCTATTGATTAAAAATCTGTATCGTAATGAAAAATCTGTATCATAATGGGTATCATTATGAAACGGATTATGGGCATATAAGTGCATTATTATAATACGGGTGTAGAAAATAGTATATTATGCAACGATCATGTAATGATGGTTATTAATACACGAGCATTAACCGGGATACGAAACGAGCCAAAGGCGAGTTTCGTATGGTTTATGCGAGTGTTTTAATAACCATTA